ATCTCTGTTGCAGACATTTGAATTTACCAGAGACAAAAGTTCTTCCGTGTCTCCTATCAAAATCTGCCTTTCAAGTAAATTGAAAACAAAATGTATGTTTTTTTAAAACTGGGCAACAATGTCTATTAACCTGCTTGATCCTGAACATACAAACGTGAAAGCACATGGCATGTAGTTGGACTTTTGCACTTTTAGTCTGTCCGCATTTCCAACTTGGGAGGAGTGACATCCAGCTGCCTGATGTGCCCAGTGAGGGAGGAAGCGGGAGTGTCGGTCCTTACGTGAGGGTCTGTCCCTGGGTGGGTGCCTTGATGGGTGTCCCACTTGGATGGATGCTCTTCACAGATGTCAGCACAGCTTCATCAGGTGCTTGGTGTGTCCTGGAAGGCTGACATGTGGGGACTCTGAGATGCAGCCAGGATAACAAGGATAGATCTTCATGAGATTTCAGAAAACTTGACATTGTTAGGGAAACATGTTCTGAGTTGCATTAAGTGTCCTTCGGCATCCTTTGTCATTTTCTTTCTTTGATGTACAAGTAAGTTTGTAAAGTTTGCAGTATTTGCATGCATTTAATTCAGCACGCAGCTCAGATGCCTCTGAGTCAGATGCGGGGTCACCCACCGCCCGTAGTGGAAGCCTGGCTGCGGGTGGTAGCTCTTCTGCCCTGAGCATTCTGTGTGTGCTTGCTCTGGGCAGCAGCAGGTGCCTGCTCCCCTCTGGAGCCCTCCCAGCCAGGGGGATCCAGACTGAGTTCTGGCTCCTGATTTCTGCCTGCCCCAGCTCTTACTAACATTTGATTAGTGTAATTGCAAGGGCAAGATTTTCCTTTGTTTCTCTCCTTGACTCTCATATATATATATATATATATTTTTTTTTTTAAAGATTTATTTTATTATTTTTATTGGAAAGGCGGATATACAGAGAGGAGAGACAGAGAGGAAGATCTTCCGTCCGATGACTCACTCCCCAAGTGAGCGCAACGGCCGATGCTATGCCGATCCGAAGCCAGGAACCTCTTCCGGGTCTCCCACGTGGGTGCAGGTTCCCAAAGCTTTGGGCCGTCCTCGACTGTTTTCCCGGGGCCACAGGCAGGGAGCTGGAAGGGAAGCGGGGCTGCCGGGATAGAACTGGCACCCATATGGGATCCCGGGCGTGCAAGGCGAGGATTTAACCACTGCGCCACCGCGCCGGGCCCTACTCTCAGATATTTTTAAAAAGTCATTAAAGTTTTAAGCATTAACCTGTTGCTACGTTTCTGCAATGAAATGTCTCATTGTGCTTCTGTTTCTTGTAAACATTTTTTCTAACATAGTAGTCTTTGCAATTTTTATTTAATTTATCAGTTTTACTGGGCAACAGTTTTCAGGAAGCTTCTTTTTTTCTATAACGTTTTACATTGTCAGTGAAAATAACTTTTTAAAAAAGGTTTATTTATTTTTATTGGAATGGCAAATACTCAGAGAGAAAGAGAAACAGAAAAGAAGATTTTCCTTGTGCTGGTTCACTGCCAAAGTGGCTGTAACAGCCGGAGCTGAGCTGCTCTGAAGCCAGGAGCCAGCTTCATCCAGGTCTGCCGTGTGGGTGCAAGATCCCTGGCTTTGGGTTGTCCTCTACTGCTTTCCCAGGCCACAGACAGCGAACTGCATCAGATGCGGAACATCCAGGACACAAACTGGTGCCAATACCAGCACATTCAATGAAAGAATTTTAGCCACTAGGCTACCATGCCAGGCCCAGAAAATAATGTTGTATAAGTTTGAAGTAATTTTTTAATTGACTTTTGGGCCTGGTACAATGGCTCAGTAGCTAAATCCTCACTACAATGCGCCTGCACTGTGTCTGTAGGTCATACACAAGGAGCTGGGTGGGACATGGGGGAGCTGGGATCCGAACTGGTGCCCATGGGGGATGCCGGCGCATGCAGGGAGAGGAGTTAGCCACCCTTATTTCCCCAACCCCAGCTAACCAACACATTTCTGAAGACTGACATTGTACATAGCATTTATTGGGAGAAAAAGTTAAAAAGTTGTACATTTCTCCAGTGCCACAAACGTTTGAATTATTTTTTTTAAGATTTATTTATTTATTGGAAAATCTGATATACAGAGAGGGGGAGAGACAGAGAGGAAGATCTTCCGTCCACTGATTCACTCCCCAAGTGAGCACAATGGCCGATGCTATGCTGATCTGAAGCCAGGAGCCTGGAACTTCTTCTGGGAGAAAATTTTGTTTATTGTCTTTCATAGTTTTCTCCCTCAACTGTAATGAAAAGCATACACATTTTATACATCTTGTGCCTAATTGTGAGCAACAGATTAATATATACTTACTTTGAAGTGTATCTTAAGCATATTTAGTTCTGAGATTCTAAATGTTTGTGCTTTAATAATTGGGTTACTTCATGAAGGTTATTTTTGGTCTAATACTACAGTAAGGTCAGTCCAATTTTTAAAAATTTGCTTACCGTTTTTTAAATAATGATTACACAGTTGATCAGGTTGGGAAAGATCGAGGTTAGGGAAAATTGGGTGCATTCATTGGGTCAGTCAGTTCTTAGACTACTGTAAAACATTCACCAGTGTCTGTATGAGTGATGCTGATCTTCGTCATCCTCTATTTGCATAAGTTAGATCGTTTTTACTAGCTGAACTTCTGTTATTTCCTGTATGTCTTAACCTATTAATGTATTTTTTAATATTTTATTTTTACTTTAAAGATTGATTTGTTTGGGCTGACGCAGTGGCTTAGCTGGCTGATTATCCATTTCCCAAGTGCTGGATTCCCATATGCGCACCAGTCCGTGTTCCAGCTGCTACTCTTCTGGTCCAGCTCTCTGCTTCTGGCCTGGGTTGTGGTTGTCTTAATCAGGTGTAGGCTATACTTCCCCAGGTTTAGTATGTTCACGGAGTTGTACAACCCTTGCTAATCTATTAGAGCATATTTGACCACCACATAAAGAAACTATATTCTCTGAGTCACTTCCATCCTCAGCTCTAGGCAGCCCCTGATCTTCTCTGACTCTGGGTTTTTGTCAATTTTGTGTACATGATATAAAAACCAGGGGCACATGCAGGGTGGATGCTTGGTGTGCAAGTTTAAATTGCTTCTTGGAATGCCTGAATTCAGGTCTGTCCCAGCACTTGCTGGGATGCATTGCAGGTCTGCTTACTTACCTGTCGAGGTCCATCATGGGTTTATACTAGAAAGGAAGTATGTCTTGTCAGTCATCCTTTCGCTTCGTGGCTTGCTTTAGGTCGTAGGAGCACGGTGCAGTGGGTGTGGCTGCATGCGTTGGCCGTGCAGGACGGTTTGTCCACACCCCTGGGTCCTGGAGCGTGCTGCTGGCAGCGAAAGGAAAGTGTTGAGCTAGCCATCTGCCTGCTGGGACAAGGACCCTGCTAGTAGAGAGGACTTAAGAGGAATGGAAAAATACAGCTTTTAAAATTTTTCCATACTCAAGGACTTCAATTATTAGGATTTGTCAAGCAGGAACGGGAAAATGAGAAATGATAATTTTCTTTGTTGTTGGCTTATGTTTACAAAATTACAACTTTCATTCATTCCACCTTGAAAATTAGGCTTTAAATACTAAAAACAAAGTAATGATAAGTTATTTGCCATTCCCCATCTCAGTTGTCTAAAAAGCAAAGTGTGGGATGTTTGCAGAACTTTTAACAGAACTGCTAGTGGATTTTGAACCTTCTTGGGTCAGGCATGGCAGAGAAGATAGGTAGAATGGTCAATAGAAAAATAATTGTGGCAAATTTAAGTCGGTGTGTTAATATTCGCTTACCTGCATATTTATATGCTACAGCGAAAGCTTGTTAGAAAATGGTGTTAACATATTTGACATGGTTGATCAATGTTTCCCTATCTTAAAATCTTGACTTTTATTGTAAACATTGGGTGATTAGAGATTGTGAATCTGAAACTTAATTCTGACAAATACTAACATAACTCATACCTTATTATTGGAAACATTTCAAAATCTATCGAAATTTATTGGACACTACTTTAAGCATACCGGGACTGGTGTTATGACCTGTTGCATTGCGTAGCTCCCTGTTATGCTGGCATCCTATATGGGCACTGGTTTAAGTCTCACCTGCTCCACTTCAGATCTAGCTGTCTAAGATGGCCCAGGGTTGTGGACCCCTGCAATGATTTGAGAATCTGGAAGCAGTTCTTGGCTCCTGGCTCTGGGCTGCCTCGGTCCTCGTGGTTGCAGCCATCTGGGAAGGAAACCAGACGCTAGATCTTTCCGTTTCTCCCTCTCTCTGTCACTCTGATTTTCAAATAAATAGACAAATCTTTCAGCTATTCATAAATGTGAATTATTCTAAAGATTTTTATTGGAAAGGCAAATTTAAAGAGAGGAGAGACAAATAGAAAGATCTTTCATCTGCTGGTTCATTCCCCACATAGCTGCAATGGCTGGATCTGAGCTGGACCGAAGCTGGAAGCCCAGAGCTTCTTCTAGGTTTGCTGCAACGGTGCAGAGTGCCAAGACTTTGGGCCGCCCTCTGTCAGTAACATCAGATACTACATGTAATTGTTCAGAATGAAGTACTGTATGTACTCACTGCTCAGGCCTCTGTATTATTGAATTATAATATTAACAAGGTTTATGAAGTACTGACTTCCATGAGGAGTTGGGAAATGTTCTCATCTTCACTTGGTTTTTACACTTGCCATGTAGAACTTGGAAAAACAGTCAGTGTCTTGCTTTTATTTACTTGTAATTACTGTTTGGTATTCTGTAATTCTACATTTTTGTTTTACTACTGGTGTGGTCTTTGGAATATGTTAAACACTCGTAGAACCATTGCATTGAGTTCATCTGCATCGTTATTTATAAACTGAGGTCATGATTTCCGTTGACTAATAGCAAGTTTATAGTGTCCTTTTTGTTTTTTGTTTTGTTTAGCTATATGATATTTAGTAAAGAAAAATAGATAAATGTTTTTTTTAAAATCTGTACTATTTTTCTGTTTCAGTTATCTAGAAAAATATGAGAAAGTTCATCATTTTGGGGAGGATGATGAGGAGGTACCACCAGGCAATCCAAAGCCACAGCTTCCCATTGGTGCAATTCCATCTTCCTACAATTACCAGCAACACAGCGTGTCAGGTAACTATCATTGTAAGTTCACAGCATAGGTTCGCAGTTTTGAATTAGGAAAATAAACAGCATCCAATGCATTTCTCATCTTTGGCAGTAAGAGCGCTCAGGAGGCTGGGGTAGCTTCTAGAGATTAACAGCCAGGGGAAATCAGGGCCATTCCTGTCACAGGGGTGAGATTTTGACACTGATTACTTTCACTGAAGGTCATTTTTTCTACATAATGATTCAAATAGGGAGAGAAAGGTCAATTTAGAATTAAAGAAGCCAGGAATTTTCACATACAAACTCCTATATTTTCTGCAATTCCTGGAATTCCCCTTGCTTTAGATCTCAGAAATGTTCCAGATTATGGTCTTATTTTCCTACTGTGGTACTAAGAAGAAGTTTACTTTCCAGGGTAGTCATTTTTGTATAAGTTACAGAAGATGGCATAGCTGAAAAAGTATTGGACACAGATAGCTTTGGAATCCTCTTGAGAATCTGATCAATTCTTAAGTAGGGCAAGCAAGGTCCTGGTTTTTAGTGGCTGTGTGGCTTGGAAGTGTAGTGGCTAGGAAATGCCCATCTTTGTTTCATTAATCAGCAACATTTGATCTGAAAAAGGACATACTTCTTTTTAAACATGATATTCTTATCAAAATTGGAATTGCTCTAAATTCTCATTCACTACTGGTGTCAGTCACAAAAAGATTATCTACATTTAAGCTATCTCATTTGCCCTAGTATTACTGCTTTTTACAACTTAACATCATTTTCAAAGCTTTTTTTCTGTTGTATTTGATTTGGTACTTCTTCCTTAGTCAGCCTGGAAAGGCAGCGTCTGCTCTTAGAATGTGTACTGCGTTGTCCAGGGCTTTCCCTAGTGCTGTGCTGTCACTGGGTGTGCGGGAGCAGTGACATAAGCCCCTTGCATACGCTACTCCTGAAGGAAAGTTCATTTTGGCTTGCCTTCCCAAATCAGGTGGGTCTGGCGTCTGACGAGGACAGCGCATGGTAAAATACGTGCACAGGAGGGGTGCTCTGACCAGCCATGGGCACAGCCTACCTCAGCAGCCCATTTCCATGCAGTCCCATTCTGGAGTGCCCACTCTCGGGCACCAGTGTGAACTGAGCTGACACACCTGTAACAGGTGCCCCGTTGGGGGGCACTGAGCTAACATCCCCAAGTGCAGCAGTTAGCCAAGCCCAGCATGAGGTCGGTTCCTCAGCAGAGCCGGACCCACCATATCATTCGGGAGTGTCCCGGGCTTCCTCAGCTCGGTGGCAGCAGTGTGCTGACGGCCTTTCGGGCTGTGGCAGCTTTGCCCTCCCAGTGGCCCAGGGCTTGATGCTTACTAAAGAGCTTCCTCAGACCGGGCACGCTTCTGTGTTAGCTCTTTAAAATGAATTGTTTTCTGGAACTTTCAGAAATTATTTCACTGTTTCCTATTCAAAACTGGTTCACTTTAACAAAGAATATGGGAAATATTTTTAGTGTATGAGAAGCTTTTGCTCATCAGTAGAGCTGCGCAGATTGGAGAAGAGGTAGCTCCCTTAGCTTGGTGTTGCTACTACTCTGACATGCTGTCGGTGTTTCTGCTTGTCTGAAGGAGTCTGATCAGCTGTGTAACATAGATACAGCATGTTTCACAAAAGCAAAATCTGGACAGCGTTTGAGTTCAGAGGTGTTCTGTGTTTTTCTAGCCAGAGCCATGGCAGCATCATGGTGGTATTCTAAGAATGTGGGTCATTACCAGTGTGTGAAGCGGCCAGTGGTGGTGTCCCTGTGCAGGAAGCAGAGTCCAGTGCGCCTCGAGCTCCATGGCTTCCAGTGTGCGTGCTCAGTTATCACCACGTGCAGAACCTTGACAAAAATCTGTCTACATTTTGGATCACACAGACTTACTGCTACTCCTCAGAGGCTTCTGTAAATATATTTAGGTAACAGGCATTTTCCTAGAGATAAATATCTTGTTGATATTAAGAAAAGCTCTTCCCATAAGATGGTAGCATGACATTCTGATGGGAGCAGCTCCAGGGTTGTCGCGACAGAGTGTGAGTCCACTGTCGTTGGTAGGGCACAGGCTTTCCTGGGCATTTGGCTCTAAAAAACTGGAAAAATACAGTGAACAGTTGTGGTTTGAACTTTACTTTTATTGAATACTAGCATTGATACATAGTTGTTTTGTGATTCCATGTGATTTTTTCTTTGTGTACTTTTGTCATAAATACCAAATCCTTTATGGCTGTTCTGCGGTTCTTAGTTTTTTGTTTGTTTGTACTTCCATAAATACCAAATCTTTTGGTTTCCTTCTTTTTTTTTTTTTTTAAGACTTATTTATTTTTATTGGAAAGTCAGATATACAGAGAGGAAGATCTTCTGTTCAATGATTCACACCCCAAGCGGCCACAACAGCCGGAGCTGAGCCAATCGGAAGCCAGGAGCCAAGAGTTTCCTCCGGGTCTCCCACGTGGGCACAGGGCCCAAAGCAGGGCTGACGGGATTAGAACCGGTGCCCATATGGGATCCTGGGCGTGCCAGGCGAGGACCCCAACCACTGTGCTATCGCACCGGGCCCTGGTTTACTTCCTTCTGTGATTCTCTCTTGATACTACTCTGTGGAAATACTAGATGGAGTGTTAAGGACCTTTTGCTCAATACGTTCTTAAAATTTTCAATATCTGTAGAAAAATAAAGACAAAATAAGTAAATGGCAACACATTACATTTAATCAAGTTATAAAATTTTAGAGCCTGTCAGGATTTTAGTGATAATTTAAGCCAGCCCATTCCTTTTCTCAGGAAACCAAGGACTTTTTCCATTATCACTTTGGGTACTTTGGAAAAAATTTGTTCAGGATGAATTTTTATAAATATTATCAGTATATGGGGCTAAAGATGTTCTGTGTTTTAACACATCTGGGCTAACAGTCACTGTCAATTTTTAAAAAGATTTATTTACTTTTACTGGAAAGTCATATTTAGAGAGAGAACGATAGAAAGATCTTCCATCTGCTGGTTCACTCACCAAGTGGCTGCAACGGCTGGAGCTGAGCAGATCCAAGGCCAGGAGCCAGGAGCTTCTTCTGGGTCTCCCACGTGGTTGCAGGGTCCCAAGGGTTTGGGCCGTCCTTGACTGCTTTCCCAGGCCACAGGCAGGGAGCTGGACGGCAGAGGGGCAGCAGGACATGAGGCAGCACCTGTATGAGATCCTGGCTCATTATAAGGCGAGGACTTTCTCTGCTGTTGACTGTCTTGTGAACATAAAGGATGTGTTCTCCAGTCCCCACTTCAGTCAGTGTTCCTCTTCCCTGAACTGACAGTACGGAGATGTCATTGTGTCACATCAAGGTTGTTAACAGGGATTCCTTTTGGTTTTTGTTTTTAAATGATGTTTATTTTGGGAGTTTTGAAAAACAGTCTTTCAATTTACTTAGTTTTAAAACCCGTTGCCAGATTTTTAAAAAATTTTACATTATTATTATTATTATTATTTTATTATAGACCCTGGGATTTCCCTTACCCCCTCCCCAATCCCTTCGCCCCTCACTGAATTCCCATATATCATTACTGTAGTATAGTTCTTCATATACAGTCATGTGTCCATCATTGTACTCAACAATGGCAGAGAGTCCAGGATCCTGTTGTCAAGATAGAGTAAGCAATTTCATTGGGAGTCCATCTTTGTCTGGAAGTAGAGATGCATGCTGCATCCTCACATGTGGATATGATAGTCTCCATTACACAGTTGCTATACATGCCCTTCAATGAAAAGCCAAAATACAAAATCAACAACAGGAAGAAAGAAACTAAAAGTACCCTGAAGTTAAATAACATGCTACTGAATGACTAATGTGTTGCTGAAGAAATGAAAAAGAAAATCAAGAACTTTCTTGAAGAAAATGATGCCATTGTATGGTCTGAGTCATTGAAGAATTTAATGAGAATGAAAGTGTTTGAAGAGATGGAACTAAAAAAAAAAAAAATCCATGAGATATAAATTCTGCTGATCTTTGTTGGTGAGATATGTCTCCTGTAGGCAATAAGTAGATGGGTTATGTGTTTTTAAACATGTCTACTAATCTATGACATTTAATTGATGAGTTTAAGCAATTTAATTCAGGGTTAATATGGGTGCTAATATGGTCCTGGTGTTTTAGGAATGGGTTCATTGATTTAGTCTTCTGTTGTTGTTTTACTGGGATGTTCTTCAGATTTGCCTTTGGTTTTGTTGAGTACTATTCCTCTTCTCTGTCAAAAGAACATTTTTAAGTATCATTTTAGGGCAGGTTTGGAAGAAGCATATTTTCTTTACTGTGAATGAATTTTATTTCATTTTCAAAGACAAGGGAAGGTTTTGCTGGGTACGTTATCCTGGGCTGACAGTTTTTTGCTTTTAGAATCTGGAATATTTCACACAATTCTCTTTGGCCTGTAGAATTTCTTGTGAGAGATCTGTGGGCTTAATTGGCTTTCCTTTATATGTCTGTTTATTTTTTCTTTCACATGCAGATTTCAGGATCTTTTCCTTATGTTCAATTGAAGAGAGCTTGGTTATCATGTGTCTTGGTGAAGATCACTTTTGGTAAACATTTTGGGCGTTCTGTGTCCCTCCTGGGTGTTGTTTCCCAATTCTTTCTCTAGATTAGGGAAATTTTCCCTTATTATTTCACTGAATACATTTTGAACCCCAGTTTCTCTTTCTGCACCTGCTGGGACTCTCGTAGCTCATACATTTGGCCTTTTAATTGTGTCGTTCAGTTCTTGGATGCTTTTTTTCAGCTTGACCCAACTCTGCTTCCAGCTTTTTGTTTGTTTCCTACTGGTGACAGGAAATATCTTCCAATTCTGAGATTATTTCTTCTGCCTCCTTCATTCCACTTTGGAGACTCTGTACTGTACTTTTAATTTGCTGCACTGTATTCTTCACTTCTGATGTATCAGCTTTCATTTGATTCATTTCCTGTGTGACATATTCCTTAAATTGCTTGAATTCCTGTATTATGTGCTTCTCATTGTTGATAAGA